TTTATCTGATCTTTTTACTTCTTTATCAAAAAGTGCTGTGGTCTTTATGAAATATAATGTATAAATTCTTTAATCTTTATCTGACTTCAAAGTTCGTAAGCTTATTAATTTTAAACTGATTTCATTTCCTGTGTAAAGAATGGGCTCATTGTTAATAAATAAAAAATTTGTAAATTTTTATCAAGTTTATTTTTATTTCCTTTACGGCGCATTCAAAATCCATGGCAGGCTTGTGTGCTTAAATTTAAATATATCAAAATATTTTTCTGAATTCACAAAACAGCGAAACCGACAGTAATAATAACAGCAACAACATCGATATATCATTATGAGCTCATATAGGGTTTACGTGCCTTAATTTTCATTCAGATGCAATATGCGTACATTGCACATATAAAAGTTATGCGGGACGACAGGAGAGTTTAATAACACGTTACGAAAATTGAAAATTATATTTATGACAATTTTGCCATTCATGTATTCAGTGAATATTTCACATGGCATACCGCATATGTGTCCTTTGCTTACGAATATTTGCAGTAAAATTTAAATTAAAAATGTGTAAATATTTCTGCAGCATTGAATAAAAAATCATATAAAAAAGTATAAAATTGGTAATTTAATATGTAATTTTTTAAAAAATTAATTACTTTTCGGTAAATGCAAATTAATGTTGTGTTATTTGCAGCTTGATTTTTAAAGTGCATTCAGTCGACGGGTGAATGCATTGAGCTTTGTTCGGGTCGAAGTATTTAACACATTCGCTTCACAAAACATCAATCAGTCATCTCGAAAAATGCATAATTATTTAAATGTTGTTTTGATGCAATGAATTTTGACTACCTCATCATAAGCTGCCAGATTTTATACTGATGCGCAAATGAATATAATCCAAAAATATGATACATATAGTAATTATATGGACTCATATATACATTACGATGTTCATGTTCAGTTTTACACTAGTACCAGTAAAGTGATTCCCCTGACTAAAAATTTTAATAAACTGCAGGAGATAAATTTTATTTTCAAATCTCGGAAAATGTTAGGGTGTGAAATGAAAAAATTAAAACTTAGAAGAAGACATTTTGTTGATTTTTTTCATCTCATAATAAAAAGTGTTATATTGGGAATATTTTCTGTATGAATGTGACATTTTATATATCATATGATATGAGTATGATATTTTATATATCATTTGATATGAGTATATTTTATATATCATAGTGTATTTCTGCAGTCAACATCAGAAGTGAACTTCTTACCCTTTTTTCAAAAAACAAGCACAAATTTATACTTTGATGTCTGAACTCATTAGACTAAATGGAACTAAATCATATGAGCTTCGTATAGTTAAGTTAATTTTTAAAATTGAAATGATATTTTGCTTTGAAAGCAGCTAAAAACAAAACTAAACCAATACATGTTACAGTACAATACAAATTAATTCTTTGTAATTTTTAGAATTTTGTTACTTAGGCACTACCAAGTACAGTTCGAATATATACACGAATTTTCAATCTGCAAAATTCATTTAGTGTGGCTTCAAGTAAAACTTAATCCAACAATATTAATTTTTAACAGTGAATACTCAGGGCAATACGATTCAGCAAATTTTTATGTATAAAAGCAGAGAGCCTAATCATTTTATTCACAACTCTGGAAGAAATATATCTACAAATGTTCCGGATGTATACATTTTTTCAACATTTTTAAAAATTTCCTCCTTACATTATGTGCATAGCCTATATTTTGTAATGAACTATACTCAGTCCCCTTTTCTTTCATTATCTCTTAAATTTTGAATTACAAATGATTTATTTGTTTGATCTATAGTATTTTATACAAAAAATTTTTTTTCTAATTTTAAATCTTTTATGATACAAGATTTTTTTTTACTTTAAGGTCAATAAAGAATTGTGAGGAATTTATGATCGGCTTATATGAAATCTACAATTTGTTCATTTTTAATATCGTTCATATCTTTTAAGATTGTTATAAAAAAAGTAACTATAGGAACCATATATAAGTAACTATGTTACATTTTGGTAAGTTTTTATTTTTCTTTAAATTATTATTTAATTTGTCTATCCAATACAAGAAAACAGTTTTAAAATTGAAAAATCTCTTATTACGAATTTAAACTAAGAATTTTTAATACTATTTTAATAATACAGTGCTTAGTTTTCGTTCCTCATAAACTTCATATACCCTTTTCTCTCTTTTTGCTACAATATTTATCATATTTTTCTATTGTTATATATAACAAATCTCAAACAAATTTATATTAAACTGATTAAACTGAATTTTCAGTTTGTTTTCTAAATTTTGCATCGAAAATCTTGTTAGTTCACTTAAAAGTGCATTGTATTTAATTTGAAAAGCAAACATTCTTTAATTCTTTCTTTGGATTTTGTTTTCTTCAATAATTGAAATACATTGAAATTTATTACCGCATCCATAAACAATTCCCCAAGGCTTTTTAAAACCGTAAAGTTAAGCTAACAACCTCATAAAAAGTTAAACAATTCTCAACTCATTCAGCACTTCACCTTTAGGAATCGCTCTTCCGTGCGCAAGTACTGCACTTCATTATAAAAATAATCAACCAGAAAAGCAGAAAAGGAGTAGAGTCAATATACAAAGGAAATTCGTCCAAATAACTTACCTTCCGTACACTCGCAATGCGAATCCAAATAGGTCAGCACCGGAGATGTAGCATAACGTGCACCAAGCAGTCTTGCACGTATTAAGCCTTCACGCTTCGGTGCGCGCACTATTTTAACCTTTGGATATGCGTCAAAGTAGTCTTCCAACTGTTTTTTAGTGTGAGCTGATTAAGGTGAATGAAAAGTAAACAAAGAAAAGATATATTGTACATTAAAAGGAAACCAATAAAAAAAACAGCGGTCAAATCAGACAAGCAATAAGCGAGAAAATCAGCCACAATAAATTGTTAAATGAAAATAAAAAAGAAATAAATTAAAATAAAATTAAAATAAAATTAAATTAAAATGCAAAACACGCGCTGAGAGCGAGTACAGCGTAACCATCAATCACAGTTGGCGTTTCCAATTACCACTGCCAATGGCACTACTAGTGCCACTGCCAATGCCACTACTAGTGCCACTGCCATCAACTCAAACTTCAGCTTATTTTAGTGGCTGCTGCTTGGCTGATTATAAGAACTGCCATAGTGCCATACTGCCACACTACTATACTTACGCATATCTGAAAAGTCATCCACAAGTAAAATGTGGCCAATTAAATGCTTTGGCGAGCGATCCAACACTGAATGCACTGTACGCAGCAGCACTGACCATGCCTCATTGTGGAAACAAATTATGACATCGGTGGCTGGTAGATCTTCTAGATAACGTCCCGGTTCTTTGCACCTGTGAAAATAAAAGCAATAAAATAAATCATTAATTTACTGGACAGCCAGTCGACCGCATGCGGAACATGCATTTAATGCAATAAAAAAGAAAAAGTTGTTACTTAAATGAGGAAAAAAAATTAACTTAATTGTGGGCATGTTGAATGGTCATAAATGCAGGAAATACGACTATTATCTTATAGTTACACACGTGTGAAAACACATGTAGGTAAATGAACTTACCAGGCGTCACGTGGGTCGGGCAGTGTGCGATGTACTGAGATCAAATCTGATACGTATTGATTAAATGCATTCTTTGTCCAGCCATCATCGACTGCTTTTTTCATTTCGACTGACATATTTGCTGGCAGTGTAACTGGTTTTCCCATTTCGCCTGGCGCATCTTCACCAACAGGTGCATCTAGGACGCGTTTGTCTATGTAATAAAGAAGAAGATTGCATTTTCATTCGCTGTTTTTTGTTTTTTTTTTTTTGTATATTTAAAGTTAAAAGTTAATTAATTTGTATTTAAGTCAGGTGAAAGAACTTTGATTCCACTGAAGAAGACACTTAATTAAAAATGATTTTTCTTCTCCTTTATAAAGTTAACTTACAAGGATGTAAAACAAAAGTTAACCAAAGGAATGACAAGTAAAATAATTATTAAAAATTAATAAGTAATTACATACCAGTGAGAATTTTTAATATAATACACTAATAAAAAATCTAATATTTTGATACCTAATTGGACTATATAGATTAATTCGGTAGAAATATGATCCATTAATATTAAAATTAAAAAAAAAATTTTGCATATATAGAAACCAAAAAATAACTGCAAGGCATAAGGCATCAACTATGATTATTTTTCAAGATTCCTAAAGCTAAATTATACACTAATTTCTTAAGTCAAATATAAAGCAATATAATTATAAGGTAAAAATTCTATACGGATTCATGAGATAATAATATTCGAAGCAATAGAAAGAATAACAGACACAACTATATCTTCTTTTAAGCTGATTCTAGTTTAAACATATTTAATAATTCATATAAGTTATGGAGTATAGTAAGTAATAAGTTCTTTGTAGACCTTAGATCGAGCTGATCATAATATCTTCAGAGCAGAAATTTTTTCTTTGAAGAATATTTTTGAACTATTGCATTACAGAAATCCTAAATAATTATTTACAAATTAATATCGTATGATTTTTCGCGTTGTGAATTCATATCACTGCAGTCACTACTCAGTCATGATCTCTCAGTAATGGAGATTCAATTAGTATTTTTATTTATAATATGTGTTATCGTTGAGATATTGGAACCCTTATTTGGTTTATGTGTTGAAATAGTGTTGACTTTCTCAAGATTTCTAATTTGAGCTGAATTAGATTATCGGGGTGCCTTAATAGAAGATGATCAGATTTATAATGTAATTGTTAAAGCTCACGCTGTTATTATAATTTTTTTATAGTTATTTCTATTATAATTAAAGGATTTGTAAATCGATTAGTTCCTTAAACGTAAGATGTCCCATATATGACTTTAACGGGCAGACAGATTAAGTCAATCTTACCAAAATTCAATATGAATTTATATATAAAAATCTTAAAGAATGTTTAAAAATACAATTTAAAAATTTTTATCTTTAGTAATTCTTTCTTGAATATAACGAAATTTATTTAGCGCTCAAGTCGGTAAAAATTATAAGATAATAGTTTTTTTATCGAAGTCGAATTTTATTTCGTACAAAACAAGAAATAAATAATTTATGTCTAATTCTCTGAAAGATAAGAATATTTAATTTAAATGACCTGGATAAGACAATTTGAAGAAATAATGCTAAAAATAAATTTATGGTATGTTTTTTTAAGGCAGTAACATAAAACTACGTAAAAAATTAAATCAAATTGAAAGTGCATTGAATTTCAATTCGAATGATAAGAAATTTCATTTTGAACGAAATACCTAAAAACGTATATAGTATATATTTCAATTTTCACTTAATCTGATTTACTCCAATTTATTAATAATATTGAATTACGAAATTGAATTTCTTATCCCGCCACGCAAGCACAAAATGCAAGATATTATTAGCATTATTTACTGCTTCAGGAATATATCCTTATTTATGTGCCATTTGATGCAGCTTTGGCAACCCACCCAGCTAAAATGGCATGGAATTGTAGGAATGAAAATCGCTTTCAATTTTCGTGCTTGCCATATATTTCAAATTTGTAGTCATTAAAATATTTACACGCCTACAAACACGTTGCGAATTCTCGCAGTCATAAACCATAGTGAAATACTCACCGGAATTCGGAAACGAAAAAAGGGGCAACACAACGCAACGCAACTCAACCCGGCGAGCAAAATTAAATGTGAATGTGGCAACTGTACAACTGTACGTGTGTCGTGAGTATGTGTTTGGTGTGTATGTGTTTGTGTGTGGGTCTGAAAAGGAGACATTGAACGTTCATATGCCGGACCAAATAAAAAAATTATATAGCTTTCAACAGTGATAAATGCTAAGGCGGCTGGGTTGTAGAGCGCCCAACAACGTAACCCATGGTGAATGGCATTTGCTTCAAGAGGCAACAGAAATTCTGGGCCTTCATATTTAAAAATTTACGAGTATGGCACATTGTGTACATTCGAGAGTTTATGTGATTTCGTTGTAATTTTCTTGAATTTTATTTAAATTAAACACAAATTTATTTATACAAGCGAGCATGAAAATATTTTATTTATTTCGATTGTGAGGAAAAGTAGATTAAAATTTTACAAGTAGAAAAAAATTGGCTATCACATCGAATTAAAAATTGGTAAAGAATACATTACATTTGTAAATCAAAATTGAGTTTTAGTTGAAGAAAAAATCAACTACAAAAAATAAAATATTCAATAAAATTGATGAAAATCTCAATACTAAGAGCAGGAAACTGTTATATAACCAAATAATTCGACACTCACTTCTATATAAATGTGTAGCGATCAGCTAGGCCTCAAACACTACAATTCGCCAGCTAGAAATTGCACAAAGCCAGGCTCTGAGAAGACTTTTCAAAGTTCCAAGGTACATTAGAACGAATGTCATCCTCAAGGACATCAAGACTGGTCCCATCAAAAAATACATTAAGGATAGAGCCCTGAAATTATTTGCGAAATCTGACAGACTTACCAGCATGGCGTTATCAAATCACATAATGGTTACAGGCGCCTCAGGGAGGTATGCAGATCTGAGGTCAATTATTGCTTAGCCTGATAAAGTGATAAACAATTATCCAGTCTAGGCGTAGAGAGGTGTTATGAAGAAACCTCACAGTTGAGCACTGTGCACTGACTCAACTAGCCTCAATATAATAATATAGTAGTTGGTTATAACTTTATTTACGACATATTAAAACTCTACTTAGTGGTGAATTTAATATGCTGACAAAAAAGTAGCGCAATAATAATGGAAACATGTATGTACGATATACAAATGGGCATTTACATTTGTAATATTTTGGGTAATCCAAAATGGTTTCCCTAAAGCACTTAAGTCAGCTACAAATTATATAAATATAATTTCAATATGTGTATTTTCTAAGGGTCTAATAACCTACAATATAAACCCCCAAATCAATAAATTCTTCAGAATCTTAAAACCTAACAACTGCAGTTTTTTGAAAAAATATGACATAAAAAATGAAATTCGGTAAATTAAAGCATGAAAATTATTTTAGAACGAATTAAGTACGAAAAAAATGGCGAGCACCTCTGGGTCATATTGAATTATGCGGTCACAGCACGCAATGGCCGTCGTTACAGGTATGTTATTCGGACGTAATAAATGGAGTTAAGCACGTTAATGTTAATGTGTTTATAATGAGCTCGAGCCTAATACCAGGACAAAGGATTATTGCGAAAATTTATCATAAACGCAAAAGTGCGTAGGTGTGAATGCGTAGCATTTTCATTGTTCACGGCTTTTATTGCTGATAACGTTAATCATATTTTGTTAATAAATTTAATATAGTCGATTATGAAGTTGTCTATCTGCAAGCAACCGCTTGCTGTTGGCGATTGGAAATACGTGAGTTTGTTCGTGTGTCTCTGTAGCTATGCTCTTCGAGCTTTTCTCAATGGTCTTAAATACATTGAACATTATCGAATGTATAGCCATTGGCCAAGTCCATAGGACTTGGACGCGGACACGGACACGTTTGCTTTCAATGCTTTGTTATGTGGCAAAATTTTATTAATGGTTTTGTGGCAATCTTCGCAACTTTTCAAAGATTTATTGCTTATGGGTGAAGTGTGTGTGTGAAAGACCTTTGAGAAATAAGCATTATTGACATTTATATAAATGAAAATCGAAATGAAAACTTTTCTATTGACATGTTAAAGATAATAACTACACAGTAATCTCGTGTGAGTTGAAATAATAAATTGCAAATGTTTTACTTTTAAGTTATTGCTTTTTCTTTTCTAACCTCAAGTTAGTACTCGTATAGAATAAAGAGATTATTTTCTTTAAGCAATTTATTTGACTCAAAGTGGGTTCTTCATAATTCTTTAACATTTAAAGAATGTATTAATTTTCTTTTCATCGTAAGAATTCTGTAGATAACCTTAATTGCTTTTCTATGTTTAAATTAATCAATTATTTGATAATATTTACAACAGAAAGCAATTAAAGTGCTTAAGTAAGCAAATAAATTAGGAGTGATGTTAATAGTAAGATTTAAATATTTAATAAAGTCAATCAGTTTTCTTAATGGAATTTACATAATTTAAATAAATTTGTTTTTGTATTTCAAAAGAAATTATAAGGGAGAAGAAATTATTAGGTTATATGTTATTCTGTGAATACAATAAAATTGTACTTTCACAATTGAAGTTATTTTTCTAAAATATTTTTTAAGGCTCATTACACATATGTTTCACTTGAAATTTACATTATATTATAATAATGAAAATTATTATTAAATATAGTTAAATATTTAAATACAAAAATTATTTCCAAGACCACTAATGATGGATATTTGGTAATACTCGAAACAGCTGAATGGTCAGCCAACAATTCTATTAATTAAAATAATATAAAATGAATTTTTAATGTTGTGGTTTATTACTGTTCGAAAAAGCTCTTCTTTATATTATAATAAATAATAACTTTACGTAATTATTAAGTTTTAAAACTAAAATTTTAATAAAGAAAAGCTTCATTTTAATTGATACCTCTTTATTTCATTTGATCAGTAAACAGTGTCCTGAAGATGACTATTGATGGTGGCGTAAAAATTAAAAATATATACATAATTAACAATTAAAATAGTGTTTTAGATTAAACATTTAGTCTAAAGCATAAAAAAGCTTAGTATTTATTAAAATTAATAGACTATACAAAACAATCAAATTTCAATCCTGAAGATTTTTTGTAATTAAATC